CCCCCCACCCGGGGAGAAAAGCGAAAGAAAGGCAATTTACTGTATAGGCTAGAAGGAAGAGGGAGGGACGGAGAGACGGAGAGAAGGTGAGCGGAGCATGTGGGAGAGGGGAAGAAAAAAAGAGGTAATAGGTTGTATATACTACGTACGTGTAGATGGAGAAGTCGAATCAGGTGCAATCATGTCTATGTGTGCTTGAGTCGTGCGTAGGTTCCGGTCATCGCGGAAGCGAAAACGAAAAAAATGAGGTTACATGGTTGGGCATTTGCGGTCGTGACTCTCTCTCTCTGTGTGTGTGTGTGTGGATGATGCAGCGTTAGGCCAGGTGTGGTACGTACGTACAACTATGCTGGCGAGACAAACGGCAATGCCGAAAGGCGAGGGTAATTCTGCCTTGTAGGGTGCAAGCAAGCAAGCGTAGGCGGCATGCCCACGTGCCGAAAAGGCCCACCAAGCAGGACCGTTTGGAAGCTGTGGCTGCAAAGTTAGCACTACTAGGCGCGAGGCTTTCACGCAACAAAGGTACAACAAGACGACTACTGGGAGAAATATCATCATAAGTTCTTCTATAAAGTGCCAGAGGGTATCATAGAAAACCCCCGATTAAGGGTACAGTAATACTGTTTCAAAACCATCCTTTGTTCTTGCCGGACCCTGCTTCTCACAACCTCCATGCCTTTACCTATCGCAACTCGAAGCAGGATTTAAGTTTCTTATCCACCAGACGCCAAGGGTAGCGTATCCAACCAATGTGGGGGGGGGGGGAGACATACTAGTCGTACCATGCAACTGCGCTGATCGCCGTCGGGTGAACTCGCTCGTAAGCAGACAAAGAAGATGACAACTGAAGTGGGGGAGAGGGCTGCCTAGTGGACTTGAATGACCCCGGCCGTTTGATCAGCAATCGAGTGTCCATCCACAACAAACAGACCTTCTCAGCTGTGGTCCGAAACGTTACGTAGTGTGTATCGCACAGGGCAACCCCGCTGTAAACCAACCCCAAAGAAAAGTAAGATACGAAAAGAATAGGAAAGAGATGAAAAGAAAAAAGGTAAAGGAAAAGGAAAAGAAGGAACAAAGAAGCAATCTTACAAACAGCCACCCTATGCTAACGTTTTGTTTTTTTGGCATGGAGCCCACGGAACGCCACAGTCTGTGACTGGATGCATGGAATAGGAGAAGTAGTTGGATAAACAACAAGACGGTGTCGAAGGAAGCATACGATGGAGGGGTGCCCCAAAGGGAAGCCGCGTGCCCAAAGACTGGGGGGCTTCTTTTTTTTTAGCGATTATGCAAATCTTCGGTTCATCTTTGGAAGAAAAAAAAAGGATTCAATCGGTCGGATTCTCGTGAGAAAACAGCGACGTCTTCATCCTATGACCTGAGCGCAATAGGTGAGGTGGCGAAGGCTGAGGCGGCAGCGGCGGCATCTAGACCACGTAGCTGAGGAGCATATTTGGGATGTTTGATGAACTTGGGCACCGAGTCCTAAGCGAGGGGGGGTTAGTTGTTGGCAATGCGTGTGGCCAAGGAGACGTACACTTGACATGAGCTTAAAGATGGATTGTTGTGCCTTGTCGAAGAGAGAGGCGACTTCGTTGAGACTCTGCAGCATGGCGGCATCATCGCCAACGGCACGTGTCATGCGTGTGGCTAGTTGGGTGCGGAGGCTGTGATCAATGTTCAGCTCGTTTGGCGAGCCGGGCGCCAAAAATGCGTTGTACAGGCCTGTGCGTGGTTAGATGATGGTCGCTACACAAGGTGCTTCAAAACTTACCATAGGCAGCAGCGAGCGTCTCACGAATCACCTCGACCTTATTCTCACCCTTGTCGTTGATGGCATCCTTGTACTGCTTGTTGAATTGCTGGACCTCAAGGAAGAAGGACAGGTTCTCCTCGCACATGGTCTCCTTGAGGAACTCGCGGTAGAGCAGACGCCACGAGGGGTTGCGGATGATGACGTTGGTGCGGTTGCTGTTGGAGTCGCGCGTGACGCCGTCTCTTGACTTGATGGTGACCTCTGCGGTTGACGGGACTTCCTCGAGAAGCCATCCTGCTATGCGCTCGCCGTGGTTGGTGATGTAGTAGTGGACCTGCTTGGAGGGCTGGAATTGCTGGTCCGAGTTGCGGGGATCGACGGGAGCGACGAGCTTTAGCTGCAGGAACAGCGAGCCGACCTCAATGGCCTCGCGGGGGTCAACCATGGTGGAGCAGTCCATCAGCCACTGGGCGGCGTTGCGGCCGTTGAACGTGTACTCGTACTGGCGCTGCGAGTTTGGGCGGTGCTTGACAAGCTTGACGCCAATGTCGCACTTGGAGAACTCGTGTATTGAGTCCGAGTCGGATTGTGTCTCGTTTGCGGTTGTGCCGACAAATCGGCGGAAGATGATTTCGACCGTCTGCTCGTCGTGGTGGAGCTTGTCGGTTTCCGTGTTGCGCTCGAGGACGACGAGCTGGCGGGGGTTACGGTTGGATTCAATGACGGCGCGGACGTGGGCCGAAGCAATGCCATTGCGTGTGCAGAAGCGCTCGAGGATATGGATGCCCTTTGGTGTGAGTTGCCAGACGGAGCTCTTGTTCATGAAGTCGGTCTTGCCTTCGACCGACTCGATAAACTTGGCCTCGAGGAAGCGTTGGCAGACGGAGCGGGCCATTTCCTTGGCCATGGAAAAGGTCGTGGTTGTGGTCGTGGTGACGACACGTGATGAGTCCTTGGGGTCTGGCATGCGGTTGGACTGGGAGAACTTGAGCGAGCCTAGGTTGGTGATTGCCTCGTCGGATGTGAAGGTGTGGTCGATCATCCTGAAGCGCACTCGGTGGGCTGTGAGGGGAAGCGAGACCATGAGTGTGGAGAAGAGGTCCTTGAAGTCCTGAAATGGTGCTGTTAGTCGGTTTCTCGGGTTTTGGGGAGGGCTGAGAAGAGGCACAGGTCCATGCATGCCAGTAGCCAAACCACAGCACATGGCTCGCTTCTGTCACACGAAAAGAAGCAGCCCCAGCCGAGAGAGAGAGAGAGGGTGTGTAGGTGCGTGGTTTTGGCCAATTGAAAGAAGCTCTCGGCCTTGTTGCAGGAGCTGAGCGTTGCTTTTGAGCATGGTGCAGGCGAGGGTAGCGCGTGGGCGTGGACGAGATGCAATTGTTGAAGGAGGGGAGGGGAAGGGAGGGGAGACAAGAGAGAGAGGAATGACGGCAGACTACTCACCCTGGTAAAAGGGCGCTCATCGTCCGTCATGCGGAGTAAGCGCGAGCTTGTCTGGTGCATCTTGTCGGATCGCCGTCGTCTTGGGGCGGGTGGCAAGCGAGGCGGGGGCTGGACGTCTTGGTCGGCGTCGTAGAGGCAGAGGGACGAGGCGTCGAGGCTGGAGCGGGCTCGCGCGTGCGAGGGCCGTGGAGCGCCGGTGGAGTGGAAGGGCAGGGCCGAGGACGAGGACGAGGCGGAGGCGGCGGAGGGAGTCCTGCTCAGTTCGCGGCTGCCTTTTCGCAGCAGAGGAAAGCGGGCGAGAGTGTAGCGGCGGGTGTGGTGTTGGTGGGCCGAGCGCGACCGGGACGACGACGACAACGACGACAACGACAACGAGGCCGACGAGGCCGACGAGGGAGCAGCAGAGCGGTCGGGCGTGTCGTGCCTGTCGCTGGCGGGCTGGGGCGGGGGCGAGGGCGAAGGCGAGGGCGAGGCCTGGGCGGCGGCGGCGGCGAGAGGGCTGTGGTTGTGGTCGGGCAGGGCGGCGGCGGCGGCGACAAGGGCGTGGTTTTGGCGGGTGGGGGAGGAGTGGTTGCTGTGGTGGTGGTTATGGTGGTGGTTGTGGTGGGGCGGGTGGGTGGCGGGGAGGGTCGGGGTGTCAGGCACAGCAGCAGTAGTAGCAACAGTAGCAGCAGCAGCAGCAGCAGAGACAGAACCAGACACGGGCAAGGGAAAGAAGGAAGTCGTGTGGAAGGGCATGCCGAGTAGAAAGATGGTCGCGGAGAGAATGGTCGCGGGCCTCTGGTGCGAGGGCAGTGGGTGGGTACCCTAGCTGGGATTGGCCTTGGGCGTCTGGGGGGGCCCGTGGGCGGAGCAGTGCAGAGCTGGGCTGGTGCGGGTGCGGTGCAGGCCAGGCCAGGCGGTGCAGGCAGGCGGGCGGGCGGGCAGGCGGGCAGGCAGGCCAGGAGCAGCAGTGCAGCAGAGGGCGGGAGCAGGCAATAGCGGCAATAGCAGCAGCAGCAGCAGCAGCGGCAGCAGCAGCAGAGGGCAGCACGCAGCCAGGCAGCCGGCCAGCCAGCCAACTGCGAGCCAGGCGCGCGAGTCTTCTGCCGCTCCAGACAGGCGCTCACACCGCCGGGTTGCGTGGTGGAGGCGCTTGGTGCTAGTGGGAGCAGCAGCAGCAGCAGCAGCAAGGCGCCGAAGCGGCGCTGGAGGCTCCTAGTCGCATACGAGACACATGGCCCTGCTTACAGTGCACATGGGCTTCCACGAGGCATCCCTGCTCTCTGCCGCCCCCTGCTGCCCCCTGCTGCGTGCGAGACGCTGCTGGTGCCGATATGGCTACGCCGCACGCCGACACACGCCTAGACCGACTACGCACGCCTACACCTAGACACTGTACAAGACACAAGACACGCCGGGTTTCGCATCTGCACCGCCGTTTCTCGCCCACGCCCACATGTACAACCACTGGAGCCGGCGCGCGCCGAGCATGCGTGCCCCGAGGCCGTGCCCGCCGAAAAGGAATTATCTTGACGAGGCAGAAGCTGACTCGTCGTCATAGGCCCCGGCGATCTTAGCCCTATGGAGCGGCCATGGGAATCTTGCAAAAATAAACCAGGATTGGATTTTTGGGGCGGCTAGGGCGGGCGAGGGTGCAAAGGCGTGGCGGCGGGGAAAAGCAAGGGCGAGAGACGCGCCGTGGTCATGGTGGTGGTGTGGCAGTGGTACAGCTGGTGGTGGTGGTGGTGGTGCGGGGGTGGACGAGAGCGAGCGACGAGTGAGGGACGGGCGGCTTGGGCTTGGGCTTGGGCTATTCCCGATAGCCGGCGCGAAAAGGCGTCGGAAGCGGAAGAGGAGGACAGGCAGAGGCGCTGAAACCCAAGAGTGGGTTCTTTGCACACGTGGAATGGCGGCACATGGCTGCAGGGCTAGGAAACACGGCCATGGCCATGCCCTTGGCCATGACGACGAGCATGACAGGCTGAGTTCGGCGGGCACATTGCATTCAGGCATCGATCGACCGAGCGTGTAGATAGGGTGCAGATCTGCCGAGCTCGACGCCTTGATGACCTTCTATTGGGCGCGCGTCGTGTCAGCCGAGGCGAGTAAGGCCGGCCGCCCGCCACGCTGACCACAGCACCATAGCACCATAGCACCATAGCACCATAGCACCATAGCACCATAGCACCATAGCACCATAGCACCATAGCCTATACGCCTGGGATGCACTGCCAGTTGCCCGTGGGCCTGCGCGCTCGACGTCGCCATTTTTCCCCTTGCCTTCGTTGCCTGCCGTGACGGCCAGGGGGTCACCACACGTGGCAACCGATCCTTTTGCCTAGCGGCCGCTGGCGTGAACGATGCAGCAGCGTCCCACTCGCGCCTGCCTGCCTGCCTGCCTATACCACTCACCACTCAGCGCCCCTCATCATCACGCCCAACCCCTCAGCGCTACTGCACGCCTTGCCTGCATGACCTCCCCTCCCCCCCAACCCCTCGACATGGCTTTCCACCTCCCTCTCTCTCCCTCTCTCTCCCTCTCTCTCCCTCCCCCCCTCTCCCCCAACACGACCGCCGTCAGCCTGCGCCTTTGGACGTTCTCTTTCTGACACACTTTTCATTTGCAGCTTGTTTCAACACGGGTGCTCAAGCATCTTGCCGAGATTGAGCGCACTTGCTCGCCCTCCGCTTCCACCTTCTCCATCTCCACCCACAATGTACATTATAGCCGTGATTATTGATCTTTTGCGTCTTCCTCGATACGGCTGCCCTTTTTTTTCCCTTGGGGTGGGGCCAGCAACGCAATCCGCCCGGCGCACAAATGTCGGTGAGACGTCCAACGGCGGCACCACACAAGTGCAAGCTGCTGCTAGGGGGGCGGGGGCGCACGCGCGCGCGGGGGGCTATCGCGGATGCATTGCTCGATCGTGACAGGTTTCCTTAACCACTCTGCATCTCAGCCTGCTGCTATCATCTACGACTCACTCCATGTACCTGTATTGTCTCGATGCGACATCACCCACTCAGCCCCATAGACACGGCGCCAAAAAAGACCCTCGCCCGGCCCCGCCTAGTCTTTCCTAGTCGTTCCGACAATGGCACTTGCCGTCAGCCACTCTGTATGGTACCACTGCCACGACGCTTACCGGGACATTCTCGAACCTCGTGGCTCCAAACTATCCAACCATCACGCATAACATGCTTCAGCCATGCACACCATGGCGTCTCTCAACAGCAAACTACATACCGCCACCATCACACCTGCCGTTGCAAGAGCCTCTCCATTTCGCTCCTTCTCGCTCCACTTGTCTTCCTCCTCGTCGCCCGCCTGTTACCGACAGCCCCACGACGACGCCTTGTCCTTTTTTCTTCTTCTTCTTCTTCTTCTTCTTCTTCTTCTTCTTCTTCTTCTTTCCTCTCCTTTCCCTTGTCTTGCCTTCCTTTCCTCTTACATGCTCCGCCAGGCTCATGGTTTGCGCAATGTCCCGAGCAAAGGTCGTGCGCTGCTCACCGAAGAAGCGTCTTCGAGAACAATTCTTACCGTGGTCCCGCCCCTCGGATGATGCGCTACGCCGCTCACAAGTCTAGATTTTGGTCCCGGGAATAGCTCCGTGGCTTCAGATGGATTTGCGCGCGCCCGCCAACCATTCCCTGATTCAGGCATGCGGACAAATTTCCCTTGGTTGCTTTTTCCCCCCCTCCATGTCACTCCTCACTAGCCACAGGTATACCGAACCCATGCCGCCAAGTGGGCTTCTGCGATAGCTCCCTTTGTCTTTATTCGTATGCGAGCCCTGCGACGACGTGGAACCGCCTCAGAATCGAGTTTGGCTGGTGGGGTTGGCGGTGTGTGTGAGAGAGTGAGTAAGTGGATGTGCATGTGGCCATGTGTTGGCAATAGGCGAGCGAAGGAGCCCAAGACTTGTTGTATCCAAGCCGGTGCAGGAGCGAGCGCCGTCAGTAACCGCACAACACAACACGTCGTCCGTCTGTGAGACAGCCATGAGACGGGCGCGCTCCCCTCGCACGCCTGACTCTGCCATACCCCCCCATGCTGCCTGTACACGACCATGCTTCACCGCCGGGTAATTGGTTCGAGACAGCACAGCGCGCCTAGCACAGTCCGAGTCAGAGAGAAACAGAGAGAGAGAGAGAGCCTTGACACGGCCGTCCTCCACGCTGCAATCTGGACAACGACTCTGATAATTGTCCGGCCTGAACACGTTTCTCCTGCCTGTTGTGGCACCCGACCCGCCCTTCCACACAGTCTCGCACACGCCGGCACACAATCTCGCACACGCCGACACTCAATCATGTCGACTCGTACCTACGTCGCTCGTCGCGGTCCAGACCATCGACGCGCTGTGCAACCCCCAACTTATGCCACGATTGCGCGCGCCTGGAAGGGGGGCCCTGTAGTCCTGCAGCCCTGTAGCCCTCATGTCAGCGCTGCCGGACCTCCAGGACAACAGCTTGTCCGCAAGTAAGCAGAGCTGTCTACCATACGCAATCCTCTAGACCAAGACGGCATCTCGTAAGCACAAAAGGGGATTTTTCAAACACAAGGCCGCACTTCCCTAGGTTTCTCCGAGGCGCACATAGCTTAAACGGTTGCATTCGGTAAGACACATATACGAACCTGTCACTGCTGTATGCACTGCATGCTCTCGGCTCAATGCGCCGGCCCCTCTTGAGTCCAGTCACGCAAAACTCGCTTTAGCGATGTAACGTATGTATGGACATATGCATTGCAAAGCTTCATGAAAGAGAGAGAGAGAGAGAGAGTGAGAGTAAGAAAGAGAGACAAAAACCTGTTTACTGAACAATGCGCCGTCTCACACCCCCGCCGCCGTTGGCATTTGCAAATCATGGCCATGTTTTTTTTTCCTCCCTTGTCCGCTAACACGAGACATCTACACAAAAATGCGTCGTACCACCCCGTAGGGACCTACTTGGTCTGTGCCAGCTGGTCATGTCCCTGTACAACGTCATCGTACATATGTAATGTACACCCAAAGGCCCAAACCTAGTGTGGAGATAAGGGGTTAGTTGTCTGTGTGTCGTCGTCTTTGTTTTCCTTTTCTTATTTTTTTTTCTCCCCTAAGCCCTTAACGAGCAAATCACGCGGCTATAACACAACGTTGTTATTGAATTAGATGAAGAAAAAAAAGCAAGGACTGCATCACGCCTTTTCTTCCTTTTCGTGTTCAGTCGAGTCGAAAAAGGGAAAAAATATGGGCAACGCCGAATCCGAGCGTCTGGGCCGTCTCGGAGAAGAGCGCCATGGTAATAACGCCTATTTCCTTTTCTTTCTCTCTTTTCTCTCTCGTACTCTCTTCTCCACTCTGACATGATTTCCCCTCGTTTTTTGTTTCTCGTTCGTTGTTCGTGGGCGAAGAGAAGGGGGCATACCTAATACGGGTGGGCGCATCGGCAGCAACAGCAGTCAGATGGCAGAGGACGTGCAACCTGCGTCTCCTTGTTATTTTATTCTATTCTTATTTTCTTATTTCCATGTCTTACTTGCACGTGGATGGAAGCACGCGACGCTATGCTTTCCCGTCACGGCCTGCTTGCATACATATATGCATGTGTGGCTTGGCTTAATCTGCATCCACCCAATAAACAAGACCAAACCAAACCAAGAAGAAAAATGAAGAAAGAAAGAAAAAAAATGAAAAGCCTTTTCATACTACAGTTACACAGCTAGGCATCGACTGTGTTGTTCCGACTATCCCTCACCGGTGCACATGCACATGTGAGACTGCCATGTGCGCCAAGGCATAACACGAGTAGCAAACCTGCGTCATCACCTATTTCCCGAGTCAAGTCCATGGGAAATGATGGTGTAGGCCCTGTCTATACGCACGATACGGTGACGTGAGATGATGATTATGATGATGATGTGGTAAGAAGGTTCCCCTAACGCGTATACTCACATGTAATACACCAACGTTGGAAGTGATCGGAGAGTTGAAGAGAACGCGAGCATCTGGGCTGCACACTCGTAATGACTGGCTTACTTGACCTGAACTGGCTGGGCATGCTTACTCTACTTGGCGAGAGAGATTGTGTTTGTGTGTGTGCAGCATTATGTATGTGCATCTAGAAAAGGGAGGTCTAGCGGCGCCCACAAAGTACCAAAAAGACCCACATTACACATTACACCAGCGGAGATCGACAATCTGGCATCCCAAGCGCCCTCGCCCTCCCCGAAAAAGGGCCCTTTAGACAGCGTGCCAACATAGGGGAATCCTTTTGTTTCGTGTGACAAGGCGCAGTATGTTTACAACGGCGTACAGTTGCTTGCTCCCCCCCCCCCTTCCAAGTAAAGTAAAACTGAAACTAACTCATCCAAGGCTAAACAACTAGTAAATCAAAGGCAGAAGGGGACGGGGGGGGTAACCTCGGAAATGCTTTTCCCATCACCCTGTCGTCACTTCATCATACCCCCTGGAAATCCGCCGTTTTTTTTTCGCATGACTCTCTCGCATGGGCTTGCCTATCTCGACTGACTTACTTGCTCAATATACTTACAATCTCTGTGATCTGGGGGCCTAGCGCCAAGTATGTGGAAATAAACGTTTTTTTTTCTCTCTTGCACTTGCATCTTTGTGGTGTCTCCCCGCCGCTCGGAGCAGAATTACTACTGATATATACTTTGTGCTACTGTTACATGTGTAGCAGGTGACATGGCGAGCCGTGATCGCGGAGAGAATATGTAGGGTGGAGAGAGCTGGATATATCTATATACGCATGGCAGGTGTCGCGTCGAGCCCGCGGGACGACTCCGACTCCGACTCCGAAGTCCTTCTCCGCAACTACCATGGGACCTACCAAGCACAAGTATTGTATCACCTAAACTTAGCCACTTACATCCAGAACCAGTGCACACAGGCGTACTTGATGATTCGCCAACTTTGATTACTATGCCTATTTTCCTGCTATATCGCACGTACAAACACATACGTAGGTCTAGGTATTCCACGTCGTTTGTATAGAACCACCCTTCCCTCCCCTCCCTGATTTCCAAACTCCCATTTACCTACCCTACCCTACTCCAGCGCTGCGCCGCACCACCACATATCTCACATACACATACATCATCATAATCATCATCATCATCATCGGCAATCGGCAATCGGCACCATGACCAATAGATGACATGCTGCTCGGCGTTTTGCGCCATTCGGCCCTGCAGCGTCTGCAGCACCAAAATGCCTCTCTTCTCCACGTGCCCAGACAAAAGGTGCCGGCGCCGATGCCGATGCCGCTATCAGATGCATGAATGCCTTACCGACTTGAGGGGGTGGTGGCCACGTGTGAACATGTGGACATGTGAGTGCGTCATGGATGGCTGGTGGACGTGTGTGTAGGTGTGTAGATAGCCAAGCCAAGTAAGGGTAGGGATGCTGATAACGACTCCAAGCAAAGCAAACAACCAAGGTATAACCCTGCTTTTACTTACTTATAGTACTCTTCCTCCTGCAACACCCTCGCTACCTACATCCATTATCCACGCACGCATACACACACACACACACACACATATATATATATATATATATATAGCCCAACTGTGTGGCTTACTTTGGAAACACCCGCCCTGCTACTTACATCTACTGCATGTACATGTAAGTAGTGCTAGCTACGTAGTTTATCGCAGAGCGAGCCCAAGTAGAGAAAACGGGAGGGTGGGAGCTTTTTTTTTTCTTATTTTCCAAGGGATGCCATAGTCCATGGTCGATCCCATCCTGCAGGTTTTCTTTTCCGTTACACGTGGCCCGGATAGTCATCATGATTGCGAGGGGGAGGGGTGTTCTTAACCTCGATTTACGATTCACATGGTAGACTATGGGAAGCGATCGGAGACTTTTTTTCCTTTTCTTTTCTTTTCTTTCCCCACATTCCGCAATGTGTGTGCAGAGTATACTTTGGAGGAGAAGAAAAAAAAACGACTGTTCACCAGCCAGTTGGCGTGGACGCACGAACACGGAGGGGTGCGCGCAGACCAGAAACGCGATATGCGAACCGGGTCTGATGTCCCCGTGGCGATAACCATTGCATCTCTATCTAGCCTCTGATCCAAGCATCCATTTCCTCCTTTGATCCGACGGCATTGATATTGACGGCAGAAATCGCGTCGTCATTGATTCGAAGCAAGACGAGAGACATTTCAGGGGTTGCCTCAGTCTTCGCGGTCCGACATCCCGGGCGTCATCTTTGCACGGCTCGTATCTTATCTTGCCTCATTGTTTTTATATTGCTTCTCTCGATAACAAACGAGATCAAGCAAATGGGCGCGTCTTATAGCAATTGCTATGACATTGGGGAATGGAACCTCCACACTCCACTACCCGGTCGAGCCCTCCACTCGGTAATCTCGCTGCATGAACCTGCTGGAAGACCGAAGGCGATGAGCAGCATCAGATGCGAACTGAACTAATTCTCTGCTTGCGGCCGCATTTGATACTTAGCCCAACCCACAGTTTCTGGCGCTACAGAACGTTAGTTTTACATTTTCTCGGCTGAATAGATGCCCACTTACCAGTATAGGCAGGCTCCACGACTTGTTTTCCCGTAACCTTTCGGATGTCCTGGTACACAAGATCGAGGGGGATGAACATGCCCTCTCCAGTAACAGTAACTCCAAAAAGCAGTCCTAGCTGTGTTCCAGATCCATCACGCAGGAGTATGCTTCCCGAATCTCCACTTTCCATAAACGGCCGGTCGTATACCGAGCTTGTTACAACAAAGCAATATCCTGGCGTCTGGTTGGTGAATCCATAGATTGAAGCGATGTCCTGATCGTTGTTTGTGTTGATCAAAGACATGCAAGCATTGATAGTTCCCAGTGTCCATCCCGAGGTCCTTCCATACTTGGCGACACGAACAGTCTCTCTGTTGACGTCGAAAACTGACCATTTTGGACAAGGGCGAGCTCTACCCACCAGGGCTTGTCTCGGCGGCGGGGCCTCAGGAAGTCGATTGATAATATCACGCTGCTGAACGTTGTCCATGCGTATCAAAGCCCAGTCAAGAGGGAACAGATACTCGCGCTCTAGGTGCTTAGTCTTTTCTTTGGACTTGTCTGTCGCATCTTTGTTGGCTTTGACGACTCCACGACCTGAGCCTGCGTAGACATGACCAACGCCGCGATTCGTATTATACGTGGTCATGTATTCCTTTTCAGCCTCCCTTTGCAAATCATGAGCATAACCAACTCCTTGAGAAAATGCTTGCTTATAACCCTGGATGTTCCGCTGGAGAGAGACTAGGTAGCCAACATGATCACACGTGCCTGGAGACACTATGCGCTGAGGGGCGTTCAGCAGAGTTTTGTTGCCAGGCTTCAGGGTTCCGTCATTTGTTTTCGAAAAAACTGTATTGGAGTCAGCTTGAACGTTGATAAGGTTGGATGAAGCCATACTTTTGTCGAGTCGATCATCCCGAACACAGTACCAATTGGTAATACCGCATTTGACTCCGCCCTCGAGGATCACAGCGCCGCCTAGCGTGCTGCATCTGACATCCTCACCATGAATCCCAATAGATGAGCCCATGCGCAAGACCTTTTCGTATGATGTGCTATCGATCGTGTTTGAGGGCTGGTGCCTGGTGTCACCCAAGAGTGATACGCCACACAGGATCTCGACGACGAAATTGGGGGCAATTTTATCGACGGCAGTCACTATATCCAGGAGGACCTTGCCATGCCACTTCGGGTCGCGCGCAGTCGGTGTCGCGATGACGATGGTTGGAGGGCATTTGTCAGGGGTGTCTTCCAACCCGCGACGTATCATTTCCATGGAGAGCCACTCATGATGTTCCAATATTTGAAGAAGAATCGGTGTCGCCTCTTCCCACTTCTTGCGAATGTCTAGTTCACTGTGCTGAATAGTGAACGTGCGGATAGGTCGATAATCGATGCACTCGACGTGAGCGCCCGCTGTGGACTCAAACTGTTCCAACATTGACCGAAGCCTTATAACAGCGTTCAAAAGCTTGTGCGCGTTTGCTGTCGTGTCGAAATTGCATGTAAGGGTGAGGTACTGTGACAAGTCATCCGTTTCGGCTTCATCGCGAGGAATCCTGTAAGTGAAAAGCACGGACACATTGTGAATACCTTGAGCCTCCAGGATGATGTTTGCTTCTTGGAGCTTGGAAGCGGCATCCTCAACCGACTCAAATGCGCCTTGAATGACAGTGTGCAAAGGCAATGGGGGAAGTTTCGGCCATCCAACGCGGTAAGGCATGGCTCGCACATCCATCTCTTGCTGTATCTCTTCGTCAGAGCGGGAGCGATATCGCTTCCTTCGCCTGTGCTCGCGCTCGGGGTCGTATGGCCTGCGGCTTCCAGATTGCTGGGACATTGTGGATATATAGTTGAGCTTTAGAAAGAGGTGGAATCGGTAGGTAATAGGTATAGGTAGAGAGTGGTGTATATATATGTGTGTGTGGATGTATATACTACAGTTGAAGTCCTCACAAGAGAGTTGTGGGAACGGTGGAGGTCTCACCTTAGATATAGCCAGGCAGCAAACAGTTTTGTGGGTTTACAATGATAGCAACCGCGGTTACCACGACTTATTGTGGAAACCACTCCCCAACAGGTAACCAATCAAAATGCAAATGAAACGTAGTTTGGAGCGCAGTTGAACCATGGTTGCTTAAATTCAATGACATTGTGGCTACCCGCATGCGAAAAACACATCTGCCTGGACGCGACTTAATGGTGAGTACCTAGGCGCGGTGACATTACTGCTGCCTAGACGCAGCGGGAAGCAAAAGCTATCACGTTGCAAACGGCAGTGCTGACTTGCAGTGTCAATAGATAAGTCTTCACCAGTGGTATGACAAAGTGGGTAAACCATTCTAGCCTTATTATTTGTACAATGATTGAGGTAGAACTAATTTTCCTGTCCTATTCTACGTTAATACGCATGTCTACACTCGTATCCGTACGTATGTATTACATACGTCTGGGAGTCATTCCATTTTCGAAAATTTCCAACCCGCCCCTCCTAGCCCCACTCTTCCCCAACAGCCACAAGAGAGTTTTTCCCACCACAATCAACTTTTCTTTCTACACTGCCAATTCTTCCCGCGCATCGTGCAAGTACCCAGGCAAATATGATGATTGTTTTTTCCGATTAGTCATACAAGTACCAGGTACAACCAGGCAAGATGGCCGAGCGGTCTAAGGCGCTAGCTTCAGGTGCTAGTAGAGAAATCTGCGTGGGTTCGAATCCCACTCTTGTCAACATCTTTTTTGCATCATTTTTGGGCCCAGGGTGAGTGTTGGGCCGTTGTTTTTGCTGATGGAGATGGTGGGAGGGTTTGGTGGGGGTTCCGCGTGTGGAGTGGGTCTGTTGAAAACCGTAAGAAAATTGTATATGAACATGAGGAACATATGGAATGCATGCATCGTGATAATCTGTTAGGAAAGGAAGCATCGATCTCGCTTCAGAAAATTCTCGGCCCTTGTTCATCGGGAAGCAGCAGCGTGGGTTGCGTTACTATAGGAGCATCCAGCACAGTTCGAGACTTTTCATCTCGTTCTTTTTCTTTCTTGAAAAAGCGATTCGCTCATAGGGAAGAGTCTCACCAGGTCTGGGATATGGGGTGGTTGATCTTGTGAAGATCATCGACCAGTTAGCTATAAGCTCAGTCAAGTTGCTGTTGTCTGCTTACCTGACATAGTAGTGGCAGGACCCGATGACTCTGCCAATGAAGCCTTTTACGCAGCTGTATTTCCAGTCTTAGGGCTTTTCTGTTTGAAACCGAGTTATGATTTACGTTACTTGTATTGCTCATGAGTCCAGAAATGTTTTAGTTGGCGGTGCTGAGCAACAACACTCGTTGTAGGGCAACCGCGGTCAAGGAGGCGACTGCACTGCTGGTCAGGCACTCGCTGCCTGGGGTTCTCTTCAGCACTCACATCGATGACATCTGCAATGTCTGAATCGACACGTATTTGGGTGGTTGGAGCGGGTGCTTGTGAGCTTGGGACTTGAGCAAAGTCGGAAGCAGGGGTTCAGGAGGGTGGTTTGATATACTCCCAGTCCCACATGCAAGTTTATTATTAAGATGTTGCGATACATTGGCCATGAGATTGGCCGGTTAACATTTGGTACGGCCTCTGAGCATAACCTTCCTACGAGTTCTGCAAGGCTTTCACGTGATAGCTGAGATGACTAGTGCTAGGCGCACTCGCCGTATCTTCTAGCACTGTGCAGTTGCCATATGTGAGAGGTTGTTTACACTTGGCATTGTGCGAATTCCCATTGGCTCTCACACGCTCAGCAGGAATCAATGTGTCATGAACAGTTGCCCGGGGCAGCGAATAGTTATCGGAGCGCTGTCGTCTGGAACGTTCCAACTGAAACCAATCGCCCTCTCATTTGGTGAATTCGAAAATGCAACGAAGAGTCGCCGTTGCTATAGGCTTTACAACCACAGCCACGCACCCCCATTCAACCCTCTGCTATCCTAAGATTGCTGAATTCATGGCCCAACAATATCCGATGCAGTGCACTTTACGCCTTCTATTACTCACCATTCGCACTGACTTCATTTCCGTGACTCCATGCCATTTTTACGTAGCACAGCAACGGTTGGCCATTGGCGTCCGGGTCTTACTTTGGTTTGTTCTTGCCTTATCTCAAATCAGCGCATCAGAGACTCCCTCCTGGACAAAGAGGAAGTAGCATGGTGAAGGCATTACGCACTCTATTGCCTACCTCGGACATATATAACCATCTCTTTTCCTCTTGTGACCACACACATCCTTTGCATATCTGATTAGGCCCCACATCGCACTCACACAAGGCAGATCTTCAATCAGTTCCATGTTCCTTTGTCTGTCCAGTTCACACTCCTTTCCCAACATTACTACCTCACTTGTGATTATGATCTCCTGTAACATGTCTCCAAGCCCCGTGGAACGCCTCCATGGTTTTTTCAGCCTCTCACGAACAAGCTACTCATCTGAATCGGTGGGGCGCTCCCATCTTTCGACGAATCATTACTCTTTTTCTCCAAGCTGGCAACCATAAAACGGTACAGTACACACCCTTGGTTCCTAGGCTTGTTGCTGACTCAAATCTCTGCCAGGTTGCCCAGTATGGGTTTGCTCTCGTTGGACGAAGGAGTACAGGTTGCGGCAAAACACTAGTCGCTGTTTAACAAGTACTTTCGAACCGTGGTTACGAGTCGAATGCCTCCCGATTGTGAATACTGCCTGGTAATATCCAAGGCCTCTTGAATCAAACCACATCATATATAGAGACTGCCTGTGAGTCTCTCTCTTTCTCTTTCCTCTCCACGAATCCATCATCACTCATACCCATTGGTACTCTTCTTTACATGCCTTCCCACCACAAAAATGGATTCCTCCTCTGGCCGTATGGGCCAGTTTCACGCAACGGGGGCACCCCGTTTAAGCCTGACTAGGAGGACGATCCCATTGCCTCCTGCCTCCACTCCCTCACCTCCTACAACCCCGCCACAATCATCACCAATTTCTTGGCGAAGCCGATCCACTTCGTCATCATCATTCTCCTCCTCCTCCTCCTCATCATCATCACCATCATCATCATCATCACCGACTGCCCAGAACCCCTGGGCTACCAAAAGCAACTGGCGGACTGGTTCTTCTCCCAGATCCGCCCGCACTTCGGCACAAGTCCCAGACTTTGCCAAACTCAAGGAGGGCCAAGTCCTTTACCTAGGACGACCTCTTTCCCACTCCATCTTCTGGCATCACTCGAACAAGTCTGCGCCAGAAGACCATCCGGTTGTTGTAACCGGAAAGTACAGGAACGAGGCCGGAGAAGAGTGCGTCAAGATCCGGCTGTTGACAAGTTTTGGCGGCGTGCGGCTTCAAGACAAGAAGCCGCGCTGGCAATGGAACCTGTTCATGCTCTGCGAGAACAAGCAAGAGCAGGCAGACGTCACCGAGGTCCGCGAGGCCAAGATGGCGGCAGGTTCCGATGCGTTCAAGAGACGCTGTTATGTCAACCTCAGCCCAAATTCGCTGTACTCTATCGAGTACAAGCACCTTGAAGTTTTCATGATCCAGCCAGGACTCGCCTTTAACGCCGAGTCAACAGCCGAGATCAAGAAGGCGCCCGCACTGCCGTAGACGGCAGTGCTTGACAATGCCGAAAGCCACCGATGGTTTACACCTGAAGGTCCCCGGCACATTCATTATCAATATCAGATGTCGACATCAATCGACATCTCTCTCGACAATGCCGAACGCCACCGATGGCTTATGCCTGAAGGTCCCCGGCACAATTCTCTCCCACTGGAGCAGCTCGCGAAAAGTCCGGGCACAAGCTCATATTTTGTGCAATGTTATTGTTGTTGTTGTTGTGGAAAGGCGTTGTAGCAAGGCAGAAGAGGCCTGCGGGGGGATGCATCTTTACATGAGTTTTTGATTTAGCGTGCAGAGCATTGGAGGTATTTCTTGGTATTTGCTTTTACCGTGTATGATTTTGATGAATTTCACGTTTTAATGTCATAGTAGCAGTTATTGAATGGCAAATGATGTTTGAGATACATAACATTGAGGTCCTTCAACAGTGATGTCGTGTTTCGCTTGCTTCTAACTACTCCAAGTTTGGGGGTACACTTTGATTTGCGGTAAGATCTCTTCTAGGTACTAATCAAGAGATCCATACTGAATCATACTCATACTTTAAACGATAAGTGCAAAGCTTCTTCCTATTTCACATAGATGCAAATATCTGCTCCTTGGTATATTGGACGTGTTTAATACAGCCGCTAGCATCTATTCAACTTTGTCGATGCATTATTAGAAGTGATACCCAAGTTCTCTTCGCGTAAAAAGATGAAATTATAGTCACTACATAGCACAATAGGTTCTATTATTTGGTAAATTCGGTAAAGATAGCATTCCTTTAGGCATACGCGTTGAGTTGGCAACAAGTTCATATTTGGCTGTAATTACCTCCTCGTGGTCTAACTCTAACCACCCACCAACTCCAATCTTCCCATCACACTTGTCAAATCAAGAATGAATCTAAATCTTATTACTAACCACTATTTACTAATCAAACACCCTCTCGCAACAACCCTGAACCTAGTTTCCTCCAACCCCCCCCCCCCCTCCCCCTTTCCCTGTATCTCCAGCCAGCCCACACACAACGATATCAACTACACGTATCCTCCAACTCTCCGATACACGACAACCCAACTCCAGCTTATCGTCGCATCTCTTCCGACATTTCTGCTTCGAAGAAAAGAAAAAAAAAGAAATTCACTACGAGGTAATGTCCCTCCCTGCGTCACGCAAATCCCCCGTGCCGCAAGAAAAGAGGGGTACTTCATCCTCGGGACACGATATGTCAATTCACGCGTTATTTTTGTACCCTTTTCATAGATTAGTCATGTTTTCTACCTTGTTCTATAGGTGTAGACATCTCTCCTTATAAATATTACGCATCTCTCCTTACAAAAATTACGCTATTGTTTTCAGGTCCGCGCTAATACGCAAAAGACACCTTTTCACAAGAAAAACAGTAACACCGCTGCAGATAGCCTCCTTCTCGCTCTATTGCACCCCTAAACTAAAAGATGAGGTTGTATATACTAAGGAAACCTTCGGCCGTACGGCAGAGCCAATCGTAGCCCTTGGTGCGGCGTAGCACCTATACTATATCTATGCGTGATCGCCACCCTTGTTAGTACATCTCCCGCGAGCAGCTTCTGCATATGGCTAGTATAGGACCGTCTACGGCGTAATCTTCACCACGCCAAGCTTATAGCTTTGAAGCCCTGTGGTTGTGTAAGCCCCGGACTCTTGTCAGCAAGTTGAGGGCCTGTTCGGTTCTCGGTTCTCCGTCTCCGTTTCTGACGCTCTTTTGGGTTTAGCGGTTTCTGTTAGCGTGGTAGATAGGCTTACTAGATTGAGATAAAACAGAGAATGGAGAACAGAGAGCTGTTTAGTAAAACGCTGTCCTAGTGATCAACTACGTAAGCTACTACGTGATTCACTACGTGAGCTACAAGTACGTGATAGCACTGATTTTAACGTGGTTATGTTAGCGAACGGAGTTTTTCGAACAGAGTAGCACCTTTGAGGGTGCTACTCTTGAACAGAGTTCCGTTTTGGTTTCGCTTAAAGTAGTCAAAATAAGTATAGGGTAAGTAGGCACTAAGTAGGGGTTATTTTGTTAGCGCAGCGCTAACAAAACGGAGCCTCTGTTCGTGCTTTCAAAACCTCCATTCTACCGAATACAACGCCGTTCCCATCTCCGATTAGCAAATCTAGTCCTAATCCGGCGAACGGAATGTATAACGGAGCTCTACCGAACAGACCCTGAAAATCACGTAGTAACTCTACCGAATAGACCCTGAAAATCACGCAGTAAGTAACGTCTTACGTAGATCAGTAAGTGGGCCACCCCACCAAACCTAACGCAACACTCTGACCACCACCATAACGCGACAATAACGCTCTATACAGGCTCTACAGACAATAACCCTGAAGCGCATACAGTAGCACAGCTTAAGCAGCAGACAAAGCTTCTTCAAGAACAGTTCCCACAGGGATCACAGAGCCCAACAAGCTAGCTCCTCCGCCAAGTTATTAAAGGCTGTTAGATTGCAATGCAATTAGCAACAATACTTATACAGGAGAATAAGGAGCTACGTGCGGAAAATCAGCGCTAACGATAGAAGCAGGAGCAGCAGCGTCAATACGTTGCTTCTAGTGAGGTGCTCTAGGCACAATAGGCTCAGCAGATAGCTGCAGAGGCAGAAGGGGTAGTCATGGGGGTGATCAGAACCAGACTAGTGAGTGACACCAGCGCGCGCCGCCAACGTGCACAAAGTGCCACGTTTAAGGGTGTACTGCGATGTTATGCAGAGCTAAATAAAGAACAGTATCTCTTATTTCTATATAATATCATTGCGTTGTTTTAAAGCAATTACGCAGAGTGTCGCGTCAAGTTTAGTAGGGTAGCCGAATAACTAGTGGAACACGTTAAGGGGGTGTGAAAGAGTAGCGAATAAGCGATAAGTATAGTAAGCCCCCTAAGCAGGGGAGTAGTTGAGGGGATTTCCATAAAACTCTCGAGGGCTTAGCCAAGATTAGCGGATTTTACCAAGGGTTTTCATACAGAGAAGGAGAGAAAGGAGAACCTTGTCTAAGGAAAAAACAAATAAAATATATTCAAAGGAGTGTTTAGAAGTTGGGGCTACATAGAAACAAGCTCAAAATGTGGACAAGTGCTACCCTAACTCTACTGCCTACCAAAGCAGGTCGAGTCGCCACCACCATTCTGCAAACACTCATTGTAGAAAGCTTTTCCATCGACAAAGCCAGACCTTGCGTAAGCCTATAATACAAGTAAGTCACAAGCTAACGATCTGAACTGACAGAGTTGCTTACATAATACCCAGTAAAGTGAGCGCCCCAATCGCCGCGCTGAGTCTCCACGATATCTGCTTTTTGTAAGTTTCGACTTCATGCTGTTTAATATTTTGCATAGACAAACCCAATTTCCATCTGTAATCATTGAAGCCAACGACACGTGTGGTAGTGTAACCATCAATGCCAGATCCAGAGGAGAACTGGCACGCGCAGTGCGTGTACTGGTCGCGTTTATCAAGTCCGCGGGCCTCGATTTCAGCCCCAACTGGGATAGAAGCTGCTTGCCCAACACTAGAACAGATGTCAGAAAAATTCTGCGGATTCCTTTTGGGAGTTGGGCTCACTTGAAGATGCAAGCCATAGCAAGAGCGAGGGTGGAGATAGAGAACTGCATTTTGAAGCAAATTGACTTGAAGGATTGTGGATAGAGAGAGTGTAGAAGATTGAAATTGAAGTCTGTAGTGATGCTGCTACTTGAAGGAATTTCAGCGCTTCTTATATACCTTTCAAATCTCGAAGATTATATAATTAGCGAATAGGTCTCTGGAGCTATCTCACTCATTCAGGCTTCACCTGTCTCTCGTCCGTGTGAATGCCACTATGCGATGGTGGTTTCTTGGGGCATTGGATACGAACTGTTTAATTGGTATGGGGTGTTAGTATAGATTCGAATTCGGTATAATGTCTGTGCAGATGTCGTCTTGTGATCGCGTTATGCTAGTGAGTAGAGCCATCAGTGAGACCTAGTTAACCCTATCAGCACTAAGTCGCCTAGTTAGTTGTATTCTTCTTCACTAAATAATTTATCATTACTCAGGTCCATAGCAAGCATCTTCCTCATTCTGAATTGGGATAGGACCTGCTCAATGAAGATGAATTTCTCGTGAGACCTTCCATGTTGTAGCTACAAGTGGCAAAGTAGGACCTACTCCTATACATTCTCGCAAGTACAACACGACTATTGGCGTAAAAATCTCTCTTCCTGGTCAATGAAAGGACCGAAACTTTTGATTGCTTCATCTGTTCAGCTGAGAGATTTATTTCTTCGGCATCAGTAGAAACATATATAAACTTCACTCTGCATGCACTTAGCATTCCCCATCAAGCTCATTCCACTCATTCCATACATTACTACCTCCAGATAATCTTGTTCAATACCGAATACTCATCTCTCTTTAACAAAATGGTTTCTGCCAAATTCCTCGCTCTTGCCTTGGGCGTTGCCCTTGGTGCTCAAGCCAGCGACATCCCTTCTGTCAACGCAAATGGCATTGCCGGAAACATTGCTAGCGCAGATATCAATGCACTTTGGGATACCACTTGGCCGAAATTGCAGAAACTTCTTCCCGGCATTGAGTGCTCAATCGGTGGACACGCCGAAGGAAAGATCGCATCCGATTCCTGCAAGGAGATTGAGGCTAGCCTCGTCTCCATGTTTCCCGGCATTCATTGCACTGGCAATCTCGACGAAGTGGCACTGAAAGCAAGCATCAATGCCCCTGCCACTGTTCTGCGCCGCGATTCTGCGCTCGAGCGCCGCAGTCGTGAGCTGGATGCTGCTGCTCAGAGAGAAGAGCAGAAAGTCGAACAACAGATTGATCAGAAGAAACGGTCAATGCTTGTCTCGTGTGCCGATGCTCCTCACCCTGGCAACTGCTACACTTGTGTTGCAGCTGGTGCAGGTCAAGCCCTTACAAGTGGAGCAAAGTGTCTCCTCGCATTCCACATCGCAATGGTTGCGCTTGAGCGCGGTCGGCCTCAGGAAGGCGGTGAGAACAATGGCAAACTTTGGACTGGTTATGGTGTCTGCCTTTCTAGCGTCGTCGGAGATATGGGGGCTGCGGTCGCTGGTTGCCCTCTTCGAGTAAGTACCAAATACACAATACTTGCTCTAAATAAATGCTAATTATCATCTAGTAAATGAAGAGACATGTTGGTCTAGAGTTGCTAGAGGCATCGGTTCTAGTGCGGCTAGTGAAAAGCGGTGGCTTGTGTGGTTGTTGGGCGATTTCGTCGAATGGATCTGTAGCAGTCAGCGAATGGAGGAAAGAAGTAATCTAAATTGCTAGAGACTAATTAGTTGTTAATATATGTGAATTTCTGGTTCAATTTAAAATTAAACGAGGCTCTACCTACCAAGTATCTCAGACCAGCAATAGCCATGTCTTGATATTCTTTCACACTTGCAAACCTCATCCATGATGTTGTAGTGGCACATGACTAGCCTGTCAGTTTATATTAGGATCCCTTTTTAAGTAGGTATACAGCTTTTTCACTCAATCCAGTACTAGTTGTTGCTATTTAGCTACTTGTTTGTGGGTAGCCTATTGGTCTACTTGACCTGAACCACGTATCGTACCACAGTATTATTATACGAAACAAAGCTCAAGATTACTCTTTAGCACTTAGTTCTTATATCTATCATTCTATTTACTACTTTAATCTAGCTATAAAGCTAAGCGCGGCTTCTTTTATTTTAGGACTTTATTACACTTTTTACTAATTTATTGTAACGTACTACACCAGTGAGGCGGCCAAACTAGTGAGCCGGCCACTTTTTCTTGGCACTGCGAACACGACAAAGAATACATTATGTCTCTACAACGTAACGCTATCTTATTATACAAAGAAGGTAGAATTAACCTTGCGCTTTAGGCCTTTACTGCTAGCTAATTAAAGACTTTACAACGTGCTGTAGCAGCCTATGGCGTACAACATTAGCGGCTCTCTAATTAGCTTTGTAGAATTACTAATTAACTTAATACACGACCTAGAGTCTAGAAGCTCACTATAGCAGAGGAATAGACTATTGTATAATACATTCTTGACCTTAACGCGCGAGGATTTGCGCCCTAGCTATATAAGGTAGTAGATATTGCTAATTAATTGCTAGCTGCTTGTGGTGGGGTACCTATTAGTAAAAACTAGGCTTAGCGCTTTATTGCTTGTATAGAGGAGCTTAAGATAGCTTTTAATTAGGCAAAGGACTATTAGAGAGCCCTTTAGGAAGACCTAGAGGTTATTAGCTTGTGGTTTAAGCTTGTATAAGATACAATTAACTAGTTTAGAGTCTATCTAGATAACATCTACAACTTTAATAAGACTAGCTTCTAGATAGGCGTTATTAGCTTAATAAAGGTTATTACTAGTTTAGAACGTTATACGAGACTAAATCTTATCTAGCTAAGGGACTAAAAGTAGGTAATAGTTATCTAAGGCATCTATGCTACTAAATATACTATCCTACTATTTATTATCTATAAAGGACACGTCTACATCTCTATATAGTACAAAGAGCAAGATATCTTATATATGTTACACGGGGGTCGGCTATACTTCTCTGATCTTGGTCCGGGTTAGGGCGAGTAGACTAAAGCGGTAGTCCGTGAGATTGTTTGCGAAGTGCTATGTGGAAAAGAGTTATAGGATTTAACTAAAAGAATAAACAATTAATTCTATAAGGTAGAATAACTAGTATTAATCTGTGTAAGAGACGAACTATTCTAAAGTTGACCACAACGAGTGTAATAATGAAATCCAACCCATTCTTATACCCATTGCCTCTAGTCCTGCCATCCCTAACATCCCTTACATCCCTAGGATGTCGCTGAGGGCTTTGATGGCTGTCCTCCCCAGGCGCCCTGCCATCCGTCGGATGGCTCATCTTGGCGGGATGGCACATCACGTGACCCTAGCCCCGCGATGATCATTACCTTCTGACGTGGACGTCCATAGGCTCCTTGCCTCCCATCCGTTGTCAAGGAGAGCATCCTTCTTGTTACTTGTAACAATATAATTAGAAAACTTTAGTCTTAGAGAATAGCTAGACTAACAATTAGCTTAGTCTTAAGTAGTTAAAGCACTTTAACGCGTATACAAAGACGCGTTAGAAGGGGTTACATAGGCTGCTAATCTTAGATAGGCACAAGAGCTACCTTAATAAGGATTTTAAGGAATACTGCCTTATATATAAGATTCTTACGCTCTATATACTCTCTTACTTATTGTATATCCTTTAGCTACTTAATATAACGTGGTTCATAAGCGAGTCGGCCACCCAAGCGAGTCGGCCACTTTGTACCAGCGCGTCGACGTTAACACTATAACGCGTTATGTCTCAACTACACAATTATTTGTTAATCTATTCTAAATCTAATCTTTAACTTGCTCTTTTTAACGTCTAATCGCAACGTGTTTAAAGCTAAAGACGTGCTGCTTCTATCTATAACGTGCCTCAAACTACTCTCTAAGACCAACGCGCTGGAAAGCGCTTTTAACGCGACTGCGAACTGAATTCAAAGCGCCTAAATAAGCTAGAAGAGGAGGCTATTGTTAGGCGTATTCTTGAAGAGTCTACGCGAGGATTTGCCCCTATAAAGGCTAAGGTTCAAGCAATAGCTAATAAACTATTAGAGGAGCGTAGTGGCAACCCTGTTGGCAAGAACTAGGTTAACAACTTTGTTAAGCGGACTCCTGAGCTCCGTACGCGCTGGAGCCATCCCTATAATTACTAGCGAGCCGCCTGCGAGGATCCAGTGGCTATCCAGCGCTGGTTTGACTTAGTCCAGGCGACAAAGCAGAAGTGGGGTATTGTGGACGATGATATCTACAACTTTAACGAAACTGGCTTTATAATAGGCAAGATTTTATCACAGTTAGTTATCACAGGCTTAGAAGGATATAGGAAAAAGAAACAGGTATAGCCAAGCAACCATGAGTGGGTTACTGTGATCTAAGGCGTGGGCGCGTCAGGTCGCCGAATACCACCCTTCGTTGTCTTTGTGGGCAAGGTGCTTATTAACGTCTAGTTTAAGAATTTGCCTGCTAACTAGGTTCTTAAAGTCAGTCCTAATGGCTAGACGAATAATTAGCTTGGTCTTGCCTAGTTAGAGCACTTTGATACCCATACAAAGAGGCATACTATAGGTGGGTATCGACTGCTTATTATTGACGGCCATGAGAGCCACTGCTCCATCGATTTTCAAGATCTTTGCAAGGAGAAGAATATTATTCTTCTCTGCATGCCTCCACACTCGTCTCACCTATTGCAGCCCCTTAACGTCGCCTGCTTCTCGCCGTTAAAGCGTAAGTATGGCGACGCTGTTTCAGGCTTAGCACGCAACCGCACCCACTATATTAGCAAGGAAACCTTCCTACCAGCCTTTAAGGCTGCTTTTAAGCAGTCTATCACGAAGGAGAATATCCAAGCTAGCTTCAGAGGCGCTGGACTAGTCCCACACGACCCACAGGCTGTGCTATCTAAGCTTGATGTGGTGGTGCAGACGCCAGTACAATCACCGCGACAGGCAGCCGCCTGGGAGGCGCAGACACCACGCAACGCGCGCGAGGTTAAGGCTCAAAGTACTCTTATTCGACAGAGAGTAAGAAACCGCCCTAGGTCTTCTGCAAATTCTCTTGACAAGAAGGTTGTGCAGCTAAGTAAAGAGGCTTAGCAAATAGCACATAAGATGACGCTTATAAGGGAGGAAGTAGCTGCTCTTCGAGAGGCTCTAGACACAGCAAATAAGCGTAAGAACCGCAAGCGGCGATACGTACGGACAGAAGAGACTCTTACTGTAGGCGAAGTACAAGAAGTATTAGCTGAACAGGCGGGTAGCAGTCGTGGTGATGGTGAGAGTGCGTCGAAGAGGGTGCGAGGAGAGCGGCGGTGCGGGCGTTGCAAGCAGACTGGACACAACGCTCGTACCTGCGCAGTTAAGATAGATAGTACAAGTGATAGTAGCGATTCTGACAATTAATTTAGTATATTGCAATAGTTTATTAACTGTGATAAAAGACTGTGATAACGTGTTAAAGTTGACGCGACGGTACAAAGTGGCCGACTCGCTTGGGTGGCCGACTCGCTTATGAACCACGTTAGTATATTTCTTACTATTAAAATTAAAGTACTCTTAACGCGTATAAGACTTAGTATGCTAACGCGTGTATTATATTAACAAAGAAGGCTTCCTTCTAGCCTTTAAACACGCGTTTTTTAACGTGTTTACGTACGATAACTATAAGAAGGCCTTTAAGGCTTTAGGACTTGTTCCTATAAACGCGTAAGTGGTTATAGATTGCCTTAAGGTGTAGCTTTATACGCTATTACTAGCACCCCTCCTAGAAACACCCTAGTAGTTAAGAACACTAAGTAACCTGCTTAAATTTAGATTGTAATTAAGGCTTGTAAGAGAATCCTTTGTATAATTACTAATAAGTGCTTAAGAAAGCTTCTTAAAGCTTATTAAAGGAGTAGAAGAGATACTATATAAGAATATTCTAATTAAAGCTTGCGTATAAGAGCTTAAAGAGTAATTAGCAAAGGTTATAAAGCGCAAAGGTTAAAAGCGAAAGCGGATCTAGCATAGCAGGACACTAGAGTATGGTGCAGCAGCATTAATAGTAGCTGAGAGTGCTTCTGGTGGTCGTACGATAGCAAAGAGAGCGCGTGGTAGTGGTAGTTAAGAACTACAGTGCCCGTGCACCAGATGAGCACCATCGCCAGTTGAGCACCCCCAACAACTCAATATAGTCAACAAGATGAGGCTGTAGAGCCACCACAAATCGTAATAAAATTGCGCAAAGCTAGGATTATACTATATACAGGCCTACGAAAGTTTTGGCTTATTCAGAAATTTTTTTGGAGGGCGTTATCGGTCGTTGCCGTCGACTACGCGGTGGAGCAGCTCGTGCAACCCGTTGCGGCTCCC